GTGCATGTGGGATCTTCCAAGTGCAAATGCAAATACACAGTCACTGGCTTGACTGAGTCAACAGCAAAGCAGTGTACTTACTGGAGAATATATCCATTTATTGTGGCTAAATACTTATGTTCTTAGAATATTACGCAGCAAGTTACAGAGTGTGATGTCATGGAGAAGCATCGCTTGTCCCATGCTAAAGTATTGTTAAGCCCATATCCAAGTTGTATTACTTGGATAATTCTGTAGGCTGGTTGGAACTGTCTGACAGAGTCTTCAAGGTAGTTGGGTGTGTTTTAAATAAATAAAGAGGTGCTCGTACGTATTCCTACACAGCTACTAGCCTGAAGCTCCAGTGTAAGGCAGCTTCTGCCCCGTGTATCTCAGCATCTATAGAAAGGATTGGGCTGATGGTGAAGCACCTAACACGCGGAGTTCTTCGTAAATGCTTCAGACTCTTCCTAAATATGGGTGAGCTGTTCTGCTTGCAGATTACCCAGCCTGGTATTAGCAAAATGAAATGGCCAAGCTACAAAGCAGAGAAATACCGCTGCCAGTACCTGTGTTTCAGCAAGAGCAGAGTTAAACCGGGATCCACGTGAGTGAGGCTGAAGGGTGTGCAGTTGTAACTGCATGCGTAAGGAAAAGTTCTGAAATGGGAAAATGAGTGACAGGCTGTATTCTCTATGAAGGGGATGCAAATGCTTTGAAGAATTAGGGTTTTTTTTCATTTTTATGTTTATTTGTTAATTTTGTTAGGGGCAAAAAGAGATTTCCAAATACACCACAAACATGGAAAAAGGACAGATTTCCTTTACGTGATTGCTGTTACTTCCTCCGGCTACAAGAATGTCTCCTACAGTGTCTTTACTTACCTGGATCTAACAGTGCGATTCTGAAAACCTGCTTTTCGTTTTCTATGGGTTCTAACATTAAATTAAAATCGGTTCTGTGTGTTTAAAAAAAAACCAAACAAAAACCACCACTACACTATTTTGTTTATATGTTTGTGGCAGTTATGTGAAGTATGTTCTTAAATTTGCATAGTGCTTTTCTGACTATATTGTTCCCTTAAAGGTATGACTCAAATTCAGGTGGAGAGAGAGAGATCCAGAGGACAATGCTGGAGCTGCTGAAACAG